TTTTTCTCCCTGCTCACCCTCCTGCCTCCTCCTGCCCTTCTTCCCTCTCAGGTCCCTGTCCTGGGCCCGCCTCTGGCTCCCCATCTCAACACTGGGTCTGGGACAGCCTGCCCCAGAAAGGACTGAATACCTGCTGGGTGCGTCCAATAATAAACACTCCCAACCTACAGGGCAGCCTGGAGGGCACCTACCACCCAGAACTAACTAGCACTTGGCATTTGGTCATTGGATTTAGGGCTTTTTAAATAAGAGTACGGAGGTAGCAGGGGTAGCTGCAGGCCCCTTTGTCCCCTTTGTATCCCTCCTCCTGTGGCTCCAGAGGCTCTGCCATTGTGAAGCCCTGCTAGGTTGGTTTAAATCATTCCATAAACGACAACCATGGTTGGTGTCACTGGGTTCCTTGTGTTTTTTTTTCTCCTGGGGTGGGTTTTGAGACAGGGCACATGACCACAGGTGAAGTTTGTTCCTTAGCTCAGCAGGTGCGGGAATCACCTTGCGTTTGCTCTGTTTCTTGCTGGGCTTCCAAGTATGGCTGTGGGCATCCTTGTTTGGAGAGCAGATGAGTAAGAGGTCCTTAAGAAAGGAGCCCCTGAACTGAGTCTTGGAGGCTAAGCAGAGCCGCTGGACACAGGGGAGCCTCCAAGGAAAGACTTGAGAAGAGGTAGTGTCTGGGAGGGAACAGGAGGAGGAGGAAGACAGAGGTGGAATTTGTGAGTGGGGGTCGTCACTCTGGCCACCGTGTGGGAGAAGGGCTGTGAGGGGCAAGTGTGGAGGCTGTGCCAGGCGGATGGTGAGGAGGGTGGTCACCACCCTGGCAAGAGATGCCTGAAGGCCTGGCTTTGAAGGCAGCCGTGGGGAGGGAGGAAGTGTGTGGCTTGGAGAGTCCCTTTGTTGAGTGATACAAGCCCCTGGGTAGAGGGCATCTCCCAGCCCCCAGCAGCAAGTCCAGGGGCTTTAAGGGGGAGGAGGACACCATGCGGGGAGCATCCGTTTACCTACCATAATTCTTGATTACGGTGGTGGTGCCGCATTGTAGCCTGCGGGGCTCTAACATCCTATTAGGTCACCGTGTGCATTTCTTCCTATGAATACTTGGGGTCTGGGCACGCCAGATCCTCTAGGTCACTCGCTCCTTCCATCCACCTGCCCTCTTACCGCAGAAGGGCCCCCCCTGAGTGCAGTCATTCTGCAGGTCATTTGCCAACCTGGTTAGGGGTGGGGATGCCAGGATTTGGATCCAGAGCCCAGGCCCTTCCCCATGACCGAGCCCAGGGCTTGGTCAGTGACCGTCAAACTAGAAGCCCTGCTTGGGGTCTCTGAAGGGCCCTGAACAACATAGCCCATGTCCAGGCTTCAAAAATTTTCACACCCCCCGTCCCCCGCCGCCAACATGCGCGCCGTCAGGCCTCAGGCTGGAGGTTCCAGCCCTCACTTTCCCTCCGGCAGTGGCTGGACCACCTTGCTCTTCCACTCCTTTTTCAAGTCCCTCGTGGGCAAGGATGTGGTCGTGGAACTCAAGAATGACCTGAGCATCTGTGGAACCCTCCAGCGTGTGGATCGGTATCTCAACATCAGACTAACTGACGTCAGTGTCACAGACCCTGAGAAATAGCCTCACACGTTATCAGTGAAGGACTGCTTCATCCGGGGCTCGGTGGTCCGCTCTGTGCGGTTGCCGGCAGATGAGGCCGCCGCAGTGGCCACAGGACGCAGCAAGGAAGGAGGCCCTGCAGCAGAAACAGTGGTGGTTCCTCCTCCCCTCGCTGTCCCTCTTCTACTGGTGACCTTTAACCTCAAGTCCCAGCCGGGACCCCTGGCTCCCATACTTGAGGGTTTTTTGTCTTTTTTTTTTTTTTAATAGTGGAGCCTTTTTTTTTTTTTAATTATTACTTCAGGGATGAGTGGATGAGAGGAAGTAATAGTGGGGAACAGCTCTCCTCTGTTGAGGGGAGGATAAGTAGGCTGAGGAACTGCAAAGCCTGCCTTGTCCCCAGCGTCCGTCCTTCTCACGCCTTCCCTGGAGTGGGAAGAATCTAGATTTCTCCGGGGCGCCCATGTGTTTCGTTTTGGGGATGGAAGGAATCTCCCTCCAGTATCGGCAATAAACTTACGATGCACACACAAGCAACAACAACAAAAACACTTCTCACCCAAAACAAAACAGCTCACAATTCTTCCCTCAGACTCCATCGTAGTAAAAATTAAAGTACCAACATGTAAGAGAAATCTGCAAAACTGAAAACTCTGCCTGGTTTCTCTGCTTTGGGGATAAAACCCCACCCAAATCCTTAACATCGAAATACTCAGCCAACTTGTATGGGTGCTTACCAGACTACTTGTGTTAATCCCCCCCCCC